TTCCTCCTCCTCCTCTTCTTTTTCTCCTTCTTTTTCTTCTTATTATTATTATAATTATTAATATTATTATTATTATTGTTGTTGTTGTTGTTCTTTTTCTTATTATTATCGTTGTTTATTTTGTTGTCGTTGTTGTTGCACCGCATGACTTGTATCTAGATGTATAAATAATGATTCGCTGATTTGAAAACAGTGGTAACTAAACAACAAAAAAATAGACGGACTATCCAACATAATACGCACACATGCACGCAAACACACACGCACACATAAACAAAAACTCATATACAATTACATACACACGCACACATATACAAAGACACATATATACATACAGTTACATACACAAGTATATTTTGGGTTTAGACTATCATAAATACAATTATTTATAAAGATTATTGCGCTTTCGGCATTATTCAACTTGTAGTTATATATATATATATATATATATATGTTGGAAATAGACCATATTTTGTATGAATTCTACCGAAGTGTTCGTCTAACAGAATGTTGTACATATCTATTTATGTATTTACTTACATATTTACATTCAATTAAAACAACATAGCAGAGAAAATACACAGCAAACACGAGAGTGAATAAATTAAAGAAATTTCGTAGCGAAAAATATCGATAGATTTTTTGAAGCCGTCTTGATAGCGAAGAAGAAATTGATTCAACCTGTTACAAGAAAAAATTTATTTTTCACTGACACTTAAAAGAAAGTGTTCAACTTTGAATAAATCGAAACCTGACATCATTTTATATTTTTATAGTTTTCATGATTATCTGTTAACTAAGAGTTGTGTTTTAAGGTCTAAACGAATAATACCTATTTAATAATTACGGCCATCCAAACAATTCATTAAAAAAACACTTATACAAAAATTTTGGAAAAATACCGACACATTTCTTTCAACATGTTTTTGTTCAAATTCATTTGTCAAGCGGCCAAATACGAGCAATCAATCATGGCTTTGTGGCGTTCATCTGATCTGGTGTGATGCAAGACAACCATTTCAGATCTGAGAAGTAATTAAATGCGCAAGCGTTCCACTTACACAATCCAAGGGACAATTAATTATTTATTCATTTATGCAATTAAATAACACGTGAACTCTCAATATTTTTATAATTACGAGCGAGTAAGACATCTAGCTTCTCCTAACTTACCTTCACACGCAAACATTTTCAAATATTTGTGACCAAGAAGGTCACGGAAAAATTAGACTCGCCCTAAAAAATTTCACAAAACCTTCGTCGGGTAGAAAATTTTGTCGACTCACATTCAAAACACGAACATGACAGCACATCATGTTAATCAAGTTTTTTGTTCTTTATAATTCAAATCTGTCAGACGCAAAACTGCTTACGTGTTATAGTTGTTAAAGTTGAAACTAAATTTGATGTTGAAGTAAAATATAGGATGATGATGGTCGGTGGGTCTTGTGTTATTCTGCCTCAAAATTAAAGCAAAATTGGTCCATAACTTAACAGTCGTCCATATTTTTGATGTTACTGATAACGGTTACAGGAAGTTTTTTCATACTCCGACTGACTGGTAAACAGTTCTACCACTCCGACACCCTGTTCAACTCCAGATCAATGCATTCAATTTTGGTTGAAACTTGTTCGTTTGACCTTCAGGAATTTTTTTATTGAATTAATAACAAAGCATCGCTAACTGGATGAAAGACATTTTTCAGTTGGAGTGTTCGTAGTTTAGTGCTTCTCCCCGAATGAAGCGTTTGCTGTAAGGAGATAATTTGCATAGTTGCCATTAAGTTCACTTCGTTTTTGAATCCGAGAAATCCTTATGTATCGGGATATGAATGTCGATCACATTCCACTTGGGAAACAATCCACATGCAACATCACAAGGATGATCATTCATATATATAAACATATGTGTAGTATTATAGAAAAAAGAGAGAGAGAGAAGGAGAGAGAGAAGGAGAGAGAGAAGAAAAGAGAGAAGGAGAGAGAGAAGGAGAGAGAGAAGGAGAGAGAGAAGGAGAGAGAGAGAGAGAGAGAGGGAGAAGGCAGAGAAAGAAAATGAATGCGCATATAATGAAAAAATGGCAACAGGTATGTTGTTTGTTTTGTGCATTCGCTGAAAACACGTTGTAGAAAGTAACGAAGGTGATTGCGTGTCGATATTTTATTGTTCATCTGTCGTTTCAAAGTTTGCTATTAATTCTCCATTATTATTATTATTATTATTATTATTATTATTATTATTATTATTATTATTATTATTTATTATCTAATTCTCCATTATTACCATTATTTATTATTTTTATTAATAATTCTCAATATTCCTTCTTTTTATTTTATTTTTTATGTAGTTTTATTTTTATTCACCACAATCCTCTTTTGTTGACTCGAGCAGTTGATCGGATCGAAAGTTATTGCCACATTATTGTGGGTGGGTGGAAGAAATTATTTTCGTCATCCACCTGTGCTACTTGTTGCAATACCAATTGCCAAAACTGATTTGAATGTGGCAGGTGGTGTTGAAGTTGTTGAAGGTTGTGGTGGTCGGTGGTGGTCGGTGGTGGTGACGTGGGGAGTGTTGGAGAATGGGGTGACGATTGTGGTTTTGGATGGTGGTTGTCGGTTTAAATGTTGAGTTATGTTACACAAAATCTTGGTACTAAAAAACAATTTTCATCTTCATTTTTTATTGAAATTCTTATTTTGCATTTCAATCATCATGATTATTATCATCACCATAGTTGCCATTATCACCACCTACGTCAAATATTAATTATTATCATCATCGTCATCATCATCGTCATCCCCGTCATCATCCCGCCATCATCATCAAATTACATTTTTGTAACTTTGTTCTATTGAGGGTTGAATGGTGTTTTCAAAATATTTTTTAATATTCTTTGCACTCAGGATTTTTTTTTTCAATCTCACACAGTCATCATCGTCAGTTTTATCATAATCATCATCATCGTCAACATCATCATCATCATCATCGTCGTCGTCATCGTCATCATCATGACAATCATCATCATCATCGTCATCGTAAGCAAAAATAGCACATCCCTTTATTATTCACCAAATCCTAATCATCACAAGATTATCACCATCACCAACATCATCAATACAACCTCACTATACAATCGTTATCACCATCATCATAACGTTACTATCATCAAAACATCATCACAACACCATCATCACCATTATGATGACATCAATATTATTTTGGGCCACTACTACAACTACAAAAACAACAACAACAACATCATCATCAACAACAACAACAACAACTACTACTACTATTACTACTACTACTACTACTACTACAACTACTACAACAACTACTACTACTACAAAACATGCGACCAAGCATAGCAGCTCAATTGCTGTTAAGTAAGGACTCCATTAAATAATGACATCGCAAGTGATAAACAACAAAAGCCAATAAATCAAAAAATGCTTTATCTTTATTATCACTATCATCATCACCATCCATCATCATCATCATCATCATCATCATCATCATCATCATCACCATCATTCTTACCAACATTATCATCTTTTTCTTCTTCATCATCATCATCATCCTCATCAGCATAATCATCTTCTTTCTTCTTCATCATCATCATCATCTTCCTCACTTTCATCATCATCATCACCTTTCACACATTCATCATCATCATCATCAACTTCAAGGCTGGTAATAAAAATACCTCACGGCGACAACTGATGCAAAGAATTTAAAAACAATTGCATCATTAACAATAATAACAACTTAATCTGTAAATCAGGTGAACAAATTTGTTGTTGTTGTTGTTGTTTTTGTTTCATGTTCTTTTTTTAATAACAATAAATTTTTCAGTTTTTAATCGACCTCGAGCCATGCCACCAGCAAACACCACATCATCCACGCAGAGAGTTCCATTGTTTTCGAACCTGGTGAACGCGCAACGACTATGAGGCGTCTCTAGCACTCCTGCCGTCTGAGCTAACTCGTTAATTGTGACGACGATAATTAATGAAACATTGTTATTAACGATATTACATTTACATTCGTATCTGGCACGACAATGTCAACATTACACCAACAGCAGTAACAACAACAATAACAACAACAGCAACAATAACGATAATAACAACAGTACAACAGCAACAACAACAACATAGATAAAACAGTAAATTCAACAAAAATAACTCAAAACAAACAAACAACAACACCATCAACAACAGCAACAACAACAACCAACAACAACCAGCCAACAACAACAACAACAACAAAAACAACTACAAAAACAACAACTACAGCAGAAACAACAACCACAGCAGAAACAACAACTACAAAAACAACAACTACAGCAGAAACAACAACTACAACCAAACTACAGCCAAACAACAGCAGTTTTTTGAGTCTTCCATATTTTTTAATCGCAGCATTTTTGGAACGGAGATGTTTTTTGGCGAGTGCGTTCATGTTTTAATGAGGAAATGATGGCTGATTCACTTCTGTGTACCCTCTACATTCAGTCGAGTCGTGTGATGCTTAGGATGAAGATGAGGGAGATGGTGAGGAAGATGAAGAAGATGTAGAAGGTGAGGAAGATGGTGGAGATGGAGAAGATGAAGATGAGGTAGATGGTGAAGAAGAAGATGAGGTAGATGGTGAAGATGAGGTAGATAGTGAAGATGAGGCAGATGTGGCAGATGGTGAAGATGAGGTAGACGATGATGATGACGTAATAGAGTGATGGTGAAGAGGGTATGTGGGATATTGGACAGAAACAACAACAACTACAACAAAATGATGGTGGTGGTGGTGGTGGTGGTGGTGGAGATGAATTTGTGTGTTTCTTAAAAATCCTCATTCAAATGCAAATTATTCAAATTTACCAGGCATCCAATGAAACGTCTTCATTCATCCATCCATACACGCCATTCGTTCAAACCTCCTCGATTTCATTGGCTTCGAAATATTAAAATACATAAAGGAATGATAATGCAGCGAT